CTAGCACATGTCGACATGTTATTGATAGAACCGGTTCGTTGAGTGACCCTACTTGTGGGGTTATACACCAACAAACAGTGACCCTGCTTGTGGGGGTTATACACCAGCAAACAGTGACCCTGCTTGTGGGGGTTATACACCAGCAAACAGTGACCCTGCTTGTGGGGATTATACACCAGCAAACAGTGACCCTGCTTGTGGAGATTATACACCAACAAATAGTGACCCTGCTTGTGGGGATTATACACCAGCAAACAGTGCGCCTGCTAGTGGGTGTTAGACGCTGGCCATGACCTATAGAGGAGACGTCTATTTCTTTCTCGTATTGTATCTGTTTTTCATGATTGCACATGTTGGCATGCTATAAGTTTGATAAGGGGCACTCCATATTTACTTACTAAGTTTATCTCATAGTTTTTCCTTGTCCACCATTTTAGGAAGTGAAGCCGAGGACGGGGAAACCACGGGAAGTGACGAGTTAGAAAGCTAGCCATTTCGAGATTGACATAGATTTTAGAAATAAATCGTGATATTGTAAACTTGACTTTATTGGAGATTTATGATATTGGAGCAAATTATAAATTTTGATCTTTAGATTTTGATGGTATTAGTTTGTGATTTGAATAAGTTCCGAGCCTTATACACTTGTGGGACCCGTCTCACGAGTGCACAGCGTTTGTCACGCCTCGGATTTGGGTTCTGGGGCGTCACAGTTGCAATCCTAGTTTCTCCACTTATTTCACTGTAATCCCAATTCTGCCCTGCATAATTTGTTTTATACTTGTGCATTTTTTGTATAATGTAGCAAATAATAATGAAAAACATTCATGTACATATATATGAATAGAAATTCATTTACACACAATTTTACATACTGCTTATATACAATCTTGACAATTTATCTCTTCACTTTTAATGATTGTGATTAATTAATTCACTTTTTATTATATTTATGAAAAATAATTATTTTTTCCACTTAAAAGTCATGATAAATTTTACTCATTGAAAGTGAAGAGATAAAGATTGAGATTTTGTATTAATGAGCTAAAGTTATATATATATATATTAATGTAGAATTTTTATCTTAATATTGTTGCTATTTGAATGAGTTTTATGAAATTTTACTTGCTTTTATATAATTTTTATTATTTATGTAGAAAAGGACTTAATTGGAAGAAATCATAATTCTTAGGAGCAAATTGCAGTGATTAGAAATATGAGGCTTAACTTGTGTAGAATCTAGAAGTTAGGGACCAAGATTGCTATTTTGCCATCAACCAAAATAGCTTAAAAGGCCAAAAACCCGACATAGAGTTTACATAAAGCGCTTTACTAAAGGTGTTAGCACATTGTTGAGGGTGTTGATCTCTTATGCAATTTCAGTAAGTTCGTGACCTCACAATTATCCCATGTACTTTTCAATTGAAATGAATTAGCCCAAATTTAACAGATGATATCATGTCACGTTATATTTTCATAAAATTCATTTTAGACTCGTTATGTCTTGAAATAAATCAACTCATATTTTTTGAGTTATTTGAAATTCACCTTTCTACTTTTTTCTTTTTCTTTTTTTTTTTTTGAAAATTTTCAACCCATGTACTCTTCTATTGAAATAAATCAGTTCAAATTTAGTAGATAACATCATGCCATGTCATATTTTCGTGAAATCCATTTCAAGTCTATTATATTGTAATGATTTGGCACCCATGGGTCCCATTTTTTTTGACATGGCTTATTTTTAATCCCAACTAAACATACATCAATGACATGACAATAAAAAATGCATTCTTCTAATCTCTTTGTTCAATGACAAAAAGATCCTTCTATTCTCATTTACAATCATTTTCTAGGACCTAGGATTTGGTTTTGTCATCCATGCTACTATCTCCACAAGCCCTAAATCTCTTCCTTCAAAATCTTGAGAACTAGGTACCATTGCATATGGTGAGAGTTCCACTAAGGCTTTAGATTATGCAATTTGGGTTGCTAAATCTTTCAAGAGGTACCAAGTTGAAGCCCAACCTATGTTGGATCTTCTGATGAGCTTGCATATACTCACTATAATCTACTATAGGTCAGGAAGGTTCAACGATTAGTTATGGAGTGAGCAATTCAAGTATCTGACATCACATAGAGTCAATCTTTAATTAAAATGATTGTGAATGAGAAGAATAAAATGCCATTAGAAAGGTATAACCAAACCTAAAACCCTAGGTCCTAAGTTCCCAATTTAAAAATAGAGAATAGAAGGGTATTTTTGTCACTAAACAAAAAGATTAAAAGAATGCATTTTTATTATCATGTTATTAATATGTGTCTAGTTGAGATTAAAAATAATCCATGTTACAAAAAATGGGATCTATGCATACCATATCATCAAGACATAACGTGCTTGAAATGGATTTCACATAAATTTGGGCTGGTTTATTTCAATTAAAAAGCATGTGCATTGAAAATTTTCAAAGAAAAAAGTAAAGGGTGGAATTTAAGTAACTCAGAAATTATGTAGGTTGATTTATTTCACAGTATAACAAGCCTGAAAGGAATTTCATGGAAATGTGACATAGCATGAGGTCATCTGTAAATTTAGATTAATTTATTTTACTCAAAAGTTTGTGTTAATTTAATTTAATATGAAACTACATAAGTTGAAATTTTTCACAAAAAAGTAGAGTAGATTTTAAGTAGTTTGAAAAGAAGGTGAGCTAATATAGCATTTTTGCCCAATCTTTAACCATATTAAAGGGTCATTTGGTATAGCAGTTTAGAGATAGTGGTTAGCGATTCTTAGTGGTTTTGCCGCTAAGAATCGGTGTTCA